CTCAAATATATAATAATTCTCAAATGAAAATCAAACTTTTAAGTTTACCATCCAAGTACAGTAGAACTAGCCGTAGATTTGTAGAATTAAATCTATAATTGAATACCTGGCATGGCTCAGCCTGCCCTTTCCTACCACTTCCTAACTTTACAGATGTGGTAGAATCCAGATCTGGAGAATATGAAGGGCTTGGGTGTGGCATCTCTGCCACGTAGCAAGAGAGCTAGAAGTCAAACCCAGATGTCCTGACTGATAGTCTGAGTGCTTACCAGTGTACCAGTGTACCCTATGCTTCTCTAATAAAAATGCACTGTTTATAAGGGCTTTGTCATTTATATATGCCATTCACCCACAAAAACATGCCAGAAACATTTTTAAAAACTATGAAACGCTATTAAGAAAATTCAGTTCATCTTTCAAAGGAAATCGATGATTTTGCCCCGGGTGGCTGTCAATGATATTTTATTAGGTGCTAAGTGCTGATCTCTTTTATTCCTTTCTGCCTGTCTAGAGCCTCTATTCCTTAGTATTTGTGCTGTGTTCACATATCACTCTGAGCTGAGTAGGCAGAATAACCTTTGTTTCTCAGGCCATGGGTTCGATTGCTAGGATACCAGGCTAAGATATCAGTATTACAACAAATGATCTGAGGCACATGCAGTGTCTTTCTGCTGAGGCAAATCCTCTGCTCAGAGTTGGAGCCTCTGAGACTTCCAACCTCCGCTCTTATTGCTGTGGCTCATCTTCCACTTCCTCCCCAAAGAACCTAATCTCTAGATTCTTTGTCTTTGTTTCATAGCTTCTGGTCACCCACACTGTTTCTTCTGCCACCTTGAACTTGGCTCTGACCGGGAAGTGCCTTCTAGATTCGCCAATCATGTGAATGTCGAGTTCAGCATGCCCACAACTTCTGCCTCCAAAGCTGCTGTAAGATCCATCTCCGTGGAAGACAAGACCGATGTCAGGAAGTGGGTCAATTATTCCGCACACTACAGCTACAAGGTAGCCCGGGGAGGCATGTGGCTAATGAGTCCATTGGTTCACCCCGGATGCTCCTCCCCTCTCATTCCTTTTAGCAGTGTTTGCCCTGGGTGCAAGGTGTTCTCTGACCGCCGTAGAGGAGGTTCACCTTAGTACATAGCCCGAGATGAGTCTGCTCTGATTTAAATGAATAATCTCTCTGGTGGGCAAGAGAAAGGTTGGAAAATAATAAAGAAGCTGATGAAAAAGGAAAATGTAATGTCTTTCATTCATCATGAACAACAACAACGAAAAGAGTCATATGGTAAAGGGATTATTACTACTCATTCGTAATATAATTTATATTGCAGAGTAGTGAACTTGGAAGTGGAAGGGAATATCAGGAAAGTACTAACCCAAAGCATGTATTTCAGCTACAGCACTTTATGAAGCGGATCTGGGTAAAGTTAGGACATGTATGACCTGGTCACTGGGCTATAACAAGACAAAACTCAAAAGCCAAAGCTGCTTCTATAATAGCAGTGGGACCAGGGCTGCGGAAAGAGGAAACCAAGTTTGAGTGTTCTGACATGAATAATGATTATAGCCCGAGGAGTTAGAAAGGATATTAAACGCCAAAGTTGGAAAATGGGGGTTAGTGAAGAAGGATTTTTCAAAGTGGCTTTATAATTTTCTATTCATAATAATATCCTTAGATTTACATGGTGATTTATTATTCTTTAATTGCTTCCTTAGTGGTGTGATCTACCAAAAAAGAACAAATACTCCATCTTGTGGCCAGAAAAAAAAATA